AGGTGCGTTTCTATCAGTCTTCCTACCATTATGACCAAGTTGCGAAAACAAGGTCAAACAACTTCTAAATGAAATTTACTTGTGAAATGAAACATTTTCATCATTTTATGTTCTACCTATCGGCCTTGCACTACCAAAATCTTTGTCCTTGTTATAGCCCTCTGGATAAATTCTTGCACAGCTAATTACTCCCTATGCTGAATCGCACTGTTTATTCACTTAAATCAATTAGCCCACCATGTGAAAAAAATGTTCCTGTTCGTTTACAAAGTTTTTTCCCATTTAGGGTTATTTTTGCATCTTGGATCTCTTAACTATCTTAAACTTTAATTTTTTTATTAGATCTGCACAGGCAATTTTCATGGCATCGAACTGGCTCATTTGTCAGCCTTATTCCTTTATGTATGTTTACTTTAATAACTGTTCCACAGTCTTATATTCGCAGATTTGAGCCCCGTCTTATAAATATCTGCCACACATCCCACTAATTATGCCCCTGCGGGAACAGCTCCACCTGAATAGGCTAATAGCAAAAAAATCTGTGTATGTGCATCTTTTTGGCTCACTAATCGTTAAATTTATTTATTTGTTTTGCGCTTACGTCAACCACCAACACTTCCATTCAGCCTTTTCTGACTTCCATTTCATTTGAAAAAAATAGTTAGAGATTTTCCTTACAAGACACTACCCTTGGCCTGCCTTGCTTGTAATTTACCAGATTGTTTTCATTGGTAAAACGTTTGGGAAATTATATAATGGCAGGCTGGATACATTAAAACCCAATCTATGTTGCTTAAACCCAACTAACCCACGTTTCTGGATTAACACTAATTTCTCTCTAATTATCACATGAATCCTTTTATTCACTTTTACCTTTCCATGCTGTCTGTCTTATTTTTTATATATTTTACCAGGCTAGAAGCAGAAGCTCGACGTCTGCGTTCCGAGCTGCAAGCCTTCCGCAGTGCAGAGAGCGACTTGCGTCGACAAATTATTCAGCTTCAGGCGGCGGAAAGAACAAGTCGCGTAGAGAATGCTCAAATTCATCAGGAGTATGAGAGTTTACAGGCCAAACTAGCTAGCCTAACACATAGAGCTGAGGTGAGAGGGTGCCTAAGTACATGTATCTCTTTAATTCACGTATTTCTTATGGGACTAGCCAATTCTATACAGGAATTTAGGCTTATTCATGTCATCCTATCTTTTTATAGTTAATTATTTTATGGTCCACCCAGTGCATTCTACTGGAAACTATAATAGAATTTCTTCCTTGGGCTTTCACACGTAAAATATAATGTATTTATTATTCTTTCTAAGCAGCTATTGCAAGAGTAAATCAGTTAAGTATTTTATTATGTCATTGATGCTAGTTACTTTCTTTTTTCATTGTATTGATTTTCCCAACCTGTAGGTTTGCTTGAATGTGCCAATTCTGCTCTACAAATTATAATCGTTTATTAATCATTCTTTTTTACTTAATAGTGTTAAATTAAAGATTTAGAAATAAGGTAATAAATACGACGCTATATTAATATCAATTTAAGTTTTTCCCTAGTTTGACCAAACGTTCCTGTTCTCATTTCTGAATTTTGTGCTTTAACTTGCTTTATTTTAATGATTAATCATTCGGAGACTAATAACTAAGATGGGTTTTTAGCCTGGACCTCGAATAGCTGAGAGCCCTTTGTTTTTTCATAGATCCATGATCGACGGCCGTCGATATTATCATCCACTTTTTATATATCTTGTAAAACTGTATTTTATCGTCTATGAAAGCATACTTTTTTCACATGCATCAAGTTGAGCCTCTAGGTTTACTATACTTTTTCATCCGGGAAGTTGTTAGTTACAATTATACCCATCTTCGATTTCCTTAATGCTAATTTGCACAATATTATCTTAACAAGACAATCCTCGGGTCTGTATGCTTGCTTTAATCAAAGAATGCAGCGAATTTTAGTTATATGCATTATATCCATCTACTCGATTTTCAA